TTACAACGCTTTTCTGGGATACGAGTAGCACAGGGCTCTGTGTTACAGACCTAGCTTAGTGAGCAGTGTTTCACAGCAGTGCTGTAATTCCCCTCTCTGCATACCTGTAAAAAACAGTTATGTGGGTACGATTGTGTCTCCAGTAGCTGCTTCTGGGGGCAATTCTTCTAATAAGGCATCGCACCTCCTTGTTGCTCACTAGCCAGGAGAGACCTACAGGACAGGCATATTCTGGGATAATATAGCCCAACTGCACAAGGTGGAACGAGCAATCTAGTATAGACAGCCCAGCCAGGGGATGCTGCTATACAGTTATTGACACGTGCACTCTACTATAGCTGTACCTATTCAGGAGAGAAGTGGGCTATATTCTATAGCAAGATAGTATTAGCTGTAGTATTCTATAGCCAGATAGATATACCCATAGATCTTTTGCTGTATGGGTGTGCAGAGCAGAGCCGTTTTGACACTCTGTTAAGCGAGGTGGCTGCACTGACAGGATGGAAAGTGCTGCTAAATGCATCAGCTGTACCAGTACAAAGCCTGTGCAGAGAAAAGTTGGAGTTACTTGGAGTTACCGTCTCTATTAATTTTTCCCCTTGGGAACCTTTTTGGTACCGTATGTATCTCTTCCTTGTAAATAACAAGAACTGGGTGAATGCGATTATATAGGTCCATCTCCTGCTGTGAAGGTGTTACATGTAAGTGTATGTGGTTGACCTCTTGCGCTGTCTGCCCAGCCTCTGGGTTGCTGGGGATAAAAGGACTTGCATGTGGGGGCACTGCCTCCAAACCCTCTTCTGTGAGCCTGGCTGGGAGGGAAGGCAGCGTGTTCTGCATGTGAAAAAGAGTTTAAATCTTTCTTTTGTAGAGAGTTTGAGAGAACTGCCCTTAAAAACCTCTGAGTAGCTCACTGTAAATAAATCTAGATGAGTGAAATACTTGTATTTTTAAAGCTCTTAAAATGTATATTATAATGGCGCTGAAGGATGTCTTTGCAGTGGGAGGTACAGGAATTACCGAAGTTTACCATCATCTGCAGTACAGGCAGGCATGGTACAAATTCTCCTACATAATCCAACAAAAATATGGTATGTCTGGCCTTTAATATATACAACTGTCATAAACTTTTAGTTATGCTGTATGCAGTATCAGATCCATTACGCTCTTAAAAATCATATAAGACTAATTCATTGATGGATCCCAGACCAAGAGTTTCATTAGAAACTTTTCTGGAAAATCATAATAAATGACTGTTTAAAAAGACAGTTCTCTTGAGGTGTATTCATTCGTTGAGAGAAAAATATGACTATTGCCCACTCATAAAAGTAAAAAAGGATAGAATTTTTTATTCATTATAGCTAATTAAAATGTGTATAATTTGAACTTATTACAATAAATGCAGAACTGCAGCACATTGGAATGTATTACTATCTATAAGAACAACAGTTGTTCAGCATAGTAATGCTGCAAAATATTTTCCTTATTCTAATTTATTTCTACTTTTGCCAAATCACACATCAATGTGTCATTTGGGCAGTTTTCTGCACGCATACTGTCAGTCTTTTGCCTGAATATTTCAATAACAGCTAATCAATTACCAAGTAAAAGCTCATGTTTGGCTTATTAATTAATTTTCTAATGCCATGCTGATATCAGTGACATTTTTTAAAATAAATCTTCTGGAAACAATCCAGCTAAATCAGAGAGAAAAGGGTATAAGAAAGTTGTATGAGAACTGAGGTGTTTGACATTAATGGCCTGTGTGCTGCCACTTCAAATTTCATATGCACTCCAAAAGACTGAGAAGACTGATAATTAAAATCAGAAAGATACTGAGTGGTATGGATTCCGTACCAGAAGAATAAGCAAAATCATTCTTAGTTTACAATGAAGAGGTAATAGAAGCAGCTTTCATTTTTTGAGTTATCATTTGGGGCCCTTGGGTAAAGCTGATGACCTTTCTGGACAAAATAAAATCAATAGCATACCACTTTTAGTATCTACTGAATGTTAGGTAGTTAATAATTTAAAAAAAGAGAGCTTGCTGCTACACTTACAAGGTTTTCCCTTTTGTCAGAGAAGCAGCCAGGTTCAGCTGCCTGTTGGGTATTTCTTTGCAGTGAATTAAAATGGTTTCTCTTCACTTAAGAGAAACTGCCCTCAAATCTCATGGCAAGATTTTTTGATAGCCTTGATATGAACCACCTTAAAGATGAGACCCTTTAAAAAAACGAACAAACTTTCAAAGGTGTTTTGGATTAATATTATTTGACCAGCTGTTGAAGACTAAAAGGGAATTGTAATAGCAACAAATGCAGGTGGAGGTGATTGTGCCTGCTCAAGGACATTACGACAATTTCTGCTCAGAGGAAGCTCCTGAAGAATGAGCAAAATAATTTTGGAGAGTGTGTATCTTAACAGTTGCACATTGCACGAGTGTAAATTTTTTCCATCTCCTGACCTGAGCTGAGGTCTGTTTTATGCTTCCAGGATGCGCAGCACAGATGGTGGAGACTAATTGGGGTGGAGGGCAGAGCCTCTGTGTGCTCTTGAAATCCTGTGCCTCTCTGGATGTCCAGGGGGCGGTTGCTGTAGCACAGGTGTCCTTGGGGCTGATGTGTGCAGTGACAGCCTCCCCTGGTTTGCCTGCTGGTCCTGATGCAAAGCTGAATGGCTGTAGCAGCCATCTACTGCACTGCTCTCCAGATGAATTCCTCCGTCCCTCAGTCTGCCTTGGCTGGCAGAAGTGTGTGTGCATGGAGGTGCCTATAGTGAGCCCTGCAGCAGCCCTGGCAGATGCAGAAGCAAAAGCAGCATTTGGGGTTCACATCAACTTTGCTGTTCCAAGGCTGTTTTATGTTGGCCACCTTTTCTGAGGCTTCCATTTTACCACTGTTGCTGCAAATAGACCTCTGGCAAACTGCTCCCTCCCGCCTTTTCCAAATGTCAGGGCTTTAGAGGGCAGGATGAGCCTCAGAGAGAAGTAAATTTTTCCCTTGTACCACCCCCAGTGCTCAGAGATGCAGCACTGTTCCCATCTGCCCTCCAACAGGTTGTGCTAAGCTCTGTCTCTCTGTCTCTGCTAAAACTTGCACTGTAGCAGGCTGAGACTTGGTCTGGGAGACTGGGGTTTGCTGCCCTTGAGATTGGGGTTTGCTGCCCTTCCCACCTGTTTCTTCTTTGCAGAAAACAAGAAAAAGTCGCAGCAGGGCTTGTCTCACATTTATGTCTGTCCATAACCTTCACACCAGCGCTCAGTCCCGGCCGCTGTTCTGGATGTCATTATATGCCGCATATGCGGATTACAGAGGAAATGGAAATCTGTTTCCAACTCTGTGAGCGGTTGCACTGTGCATCAGAGTAAGTGCTGCTGAGGAAAGAGAATACAACGGGACATCCGACCAGACACCCTCTAATTTGTGTCTTCCCATTGTTGCAGTTGAGATTTGACATGCAGAGAAACCACACCCGGCAGCTAGGTTTTCCTGTCGTTCTGAGGGATCTGGGAGAGTGGCTGTAATGACAGAGAGATGCCAATCAGAGCTTTTGTGGAGGCCCATCACGTAATTTGTATGGTGTTTCTTTCATCGTACCATCAGCCAGCATCACTCACGTTCAGTCTTAAGTTCTCCGTATGCAGGTACACCATATTACACCCAAACCTCTTGTTTGCTCTGTTGTCTTCTCTCGTTTCTTCCCCTCACGCTGCTTCTCCAGTTGCTCCATGAAGCAGTAAGCAGCCATAGGTGAATCGCTATGGGAGCTGGCCATGCCAAAAAGATCCTGAAAATATCTCCCCTTCAGCCCGAGCAGCAGTAACGAAGCAGGACTGTCAGATGGTGGGACCCCCCCAAAGAAGGAGTGGTGTAGATGCACAGCATGTGCAGTTTAAAATGGTCATTTCACTTGCCATCATTTGGCTGACATCAAGAAATGGGATGTTAGAAACTTTTTAATGGACACATGAAGTTGCACTAGGGCTAAGCTGACAATCTCTCATGTCTGTGACCAGAGATGGCCTTTCTGCTATATCATAGTTGTGTATTTTAGAGAGAAGATAACATTATTCTCCATGAGCCATGTCCATCTACATTTAAATTACAAAGGTCAGGTCCACTTGTATGATAATTAAATTTTAATAAAATAAGAATAATTTATAACATTCAAGTCAACATTATAATTGAGCGGGAGAGCTATCCACCACACAGCCTCAGCACATGGTATAATTTATGCATGAGCTCAGGATTCTCTGCAAGATGCTGAAATCAACATTGCATGTTAGGAATGTGGATACTTATTTTAGGCACTGAGTTTGAAAATTGTGGTTTGTGGAAATATAGGCAAAAATATTGCCAAAATAAGCATTCAAAAACTCATTTCAATATGCAGCTGCTTGTAAGCACAGTAATTAAGATATATTGGGTAAATTTGTTAGATCTTTTCTTACCCACACCAGTGAGATAGAAGTTGCAGATTTCAGACAAAGACTCAACAGATCTTTAAACTCCAGCCAGGACTCAGCAGAAAGCCGTCTGGGAGAGGAGGTCTGCTGCTTAGCCTGGTCTCTTCTCCACTGCGCTGAGCTCTTTGATGGAGGGAATGTCTCCATCTACAGCTCCCACCTACTGTAGATGGATTAATTATTGTTGTGGATCTGCAGCATTGCATTCTGGCATGCCAGCAATAGGTTAACTCAACTTTTAATGTCTTCAGAACATTTTTTACAAATGAATTAATTTATCCTCACAGTCCTGCAGGGAGGGAGGGAAGGAGAGAGTCTGTCTACCTGTTTTCTGGATAGGGGAACTGAAGTGGAGGTTTTGATATTTTTCTCAGCAGTAATCAATCAGTGTCAGCTTTACACTTCACATGCCATCACCAATCACTCATTGCTCTAGATGCCGTGTTTACACTCTGCAGCAGGAGATCCGTGCTCCTTCTAGCTTGCTGCTTCTCTGAAATAAATCAACACGTTTTACCTCTGTTTTCTCCTCCAGCTGGGGTGATGCTGGTCCCTGAAAGGAAGACAGAGGATGGGTTTGAGGAGCACTTCGGCTTGAACTACTTGGGACACTTCCTGTTGACTAACCTCCTCTTGGATAAGCTGAAGCAATCAGGAACGCACAGTCACAATGCTAGGATCATCACTGTCTCATCAGCCACCCATTATGTAGGCAAATTGCACCTGAACGACTTACAAAGCAGGTACAGAGCCATTTTTGGTATTTACTGATAAGGGTGTGTAGATTTAAACTCCAAGAGAAATGTTACTGAATGCTGAATGTGGGAGGGTTTTTTGTTGCCTTTTTTTTTTTTTTTAATTAATGGTGATTCTCAAGCAGTTGTTTAATATCTTTCAGGCTTGAACAAAGCTTGCAGCCTGCAGTCAAAGATACAAATAATTTATAAGCTTGTAAACTGGGTCTTTTATTCTGAACCTTGAAAGCCTTGCTTTCCTTTCTGATGCTTCCACTGCGGTGACGGTTGTGGTGCAGAGCCTGGACTCCTCCACTGCCTTGTCAGGGAGACTTTTAATACCTGGGGTGTTTTTAAATGCTTGGGGGAATGCTAATAGACTTTGTCCTCAAGTGAATACATGTGTAGAGGCCCTGAGCCTGCCCTCAGATGGGCACAGGCAGATGCCTGTGGCTGCTAGCTCAGCGCAGGGCTGCTGACTTGGCTCTGGGGGGGGGCAGCTAGCCCCACCTGCCCGGTTACCTTGCAGCTTTGCCCGGCCAACATGCTGCCTGCTGCTCCTTCCTCCCTGGCAGCTTTGCCCACTGGCCGGCAGCTCCTGGTACACCATCCTCCCTGCCCTCCACCTCTGGCCTCCACCTTGTCCTGCACCGGTGCCCCACCTCTGCCTCCCTCACAGTCCTTCTCCAGCTTCCCCGCCTGCCTCGCGTCCCCGGGCTGCGTCATCCCTCCCGTACCCGTGGTGCTTGCCCTCTCACACATCAGCCCACTGATTCACTGCAAATGCTGGAGCCTCAGCTCTTGCCTGTGTCACCCCTGCGCTTCCACGAGACCTTATCGAGATCCGAGTGTGCGGCCATCCTGGGTTTTTAACCTGGTACGATGGGTTAAAATGCATGGCCGTATTCCAGCTACTTTTATTTAGGAAAACTGCGGGTGAATGTCTACAGGATATTTCTAACATTAGGAAGACGTTAAAGAACGCGGTAAACGTCTCTGGTGTCATACAGGAACCATGTAGAGTTGTTCAGTTAATTGAGGAATGGGCACGATAACTGACATACGTTTCAAAATTTCCCCATGCAGTCAGGTGTGGCAATTATGTGCTTACTAACAGGCTCAAACAGAGCCTGTCTTCTGATGGGCTCCAGAGCATTTCTGTCTGCACAGAGCCAGTCTGAGTTTTGCATCATCTCCGTGGAGAAATTCTGTCTCCATCCTTTGACAGGGCCTTCAGCATGTGTTCGGAGGCACCTGGCCTGAGGTTTCATTTTGGAACAAAAACTGAAATTAGAGGGCTGGGCTGTTTCCACTGCAGACATTTTACATACGAATGCTGCACGAAGCATGTCAAACATTCTTTGAGTTCTGATTACATACTACGGCAGCAGTTTTATTACAAGCACATTGTTTAAACTCTGCAGGGTAGTCGCAGTTTAATCTCTTGCTTGTAAAACAACCACAGGAAATTACCCTTACTCTTCACTTGATGTATGTACTCATTGTTTCTGATCGGCATGTGCTGGATGGCACCACGCAAGGGGGCTAAAGGGAGCGTAATTAGTATTTCTGTAGACTAAAGTGCAGAATACAAAATTAAATGTGTCTGTTCTGTGTCTCTAGATAACAGTATTTTCCTTGATTATAGCAAAGCTTTGTACTGTGCCTCTTTCATTTAGGATTTTCCTTACCTGTGATTCTTCATTATTAACTCATATTTTAAAGGACCCAGAAATGTTTCAGTTAGGAAAGTTATAGTTGAGCATGAACATGACCAGTCTGATGTAAAAAATAATAATATACCAGTGAGATTTACCTGCAACTTTTTTGCCAAACCCTGCCCTTTACATTTCGACTTTACTGGCGTAAGAAGAGCCATAAAGGGTGACAGACTCTGGCTGATTTTGCCTGCTCTTTCCCACATGGATGCACTGATTCGCTCCGGGGCGGCAGCGGTGCCTGCTTTCCGAGCACACAGGCTTTCTGAGCACACAGGCACACCACTGGCACCCAGAGGGGGCTGTGGATTCAACTCCAAACCTTTTCTTGGTTCAGGTGGAAGAAGATACTCCCAGGTTGGGGTTTTTTTTCAGCCTAACTGCAGATAAGCCCCCACTAGGGTGAATAGTTAGTTATTGCATACACGGTGCTGCTAAAAACAATGGGATTTCTTGTGTATTCGAGTGTGTGCCTATGGCATGAGCAGGTGGTTTAGCAGCCCTGGAGGACTGTTGCAGGGTACCACACACAGGCATTGCTCACACCACAGGGCCTCGGAGACACCTTGTGATAGAGCTTTAATGGATACGGTAAACACACCAGTGATGAGCACTGTGATATGATAGTGTTCCATGAGTTGCCACAGTTTCCCAGTGATGCTGTCCCTCATTTTTGCCACTTGTGTGAATGGGAAGTCTTTTTTAAAAAAATTATACTGGTTTTTTCCTTATTTTGAGTTGCACTAGTTGGCCATAATTCATTTCACAACTTGTGTGTATGTTCCCAGATTGGCTGGTAGTCCTAACTTTGCAGGAAGGCAACAAAACATCATTTGAAATCATTTATTCACAGTGCAGAAAGGGGCCATAATCTGTGCTGGAAAAATTACCAGTGGCAGCAGACTGAATTGTTTACCATGCTCTCATCCCATTATTCCTAGATTTTGTTTGGGCTAGTGTCCAAACTAGAGGTGAGCGATAGTGGCGGAGGAGGGATTCATGCATCAAACACAGCAGAGACGGAAAGGCAGAAGACTCTCTTGACATAAAGGAGACAGTAAACCGAGGTTCAGTTCTCTGCTTTACCATAGATATTTCTATTGGATCGTTCTCCCACTCAGGAGACTCTGGGTTGGCAGTCACGGTTGTGGCCGTTGCTTGCACTTGCTGCTCCAAGATCTGCTCTGAAGCCAGATTTCATCCATATCACAGGGACCACAGGGCAACAGCATAACAAATGATTGTTGGAAGGTCTGTCCCAGGAACGGTATCAAATGCAGCTTGCGTCTTCCACGTTTCCTCTTCAGACTGTTTTCTGCCATCTTACCAATCTGATTTATACCATGTTTCTCTTTTCAGCAGCTTTTTTCTGGAAGGGTTAATTTAATTTTTAATTTATTTTCCTTGCATTTTACATAATTTCTCTTCCTTTGTTATCTCTCTCGTCATGACTGCCTACTTGATTTCTATATTCATAATTTCATCTTCACCTGTGTCTTTTGAGCTTTTTTTGTCTCCATCACCCTTTCCCTCCCCATCTCCTCTATTTTTCCTCTTTTTTTTTGAGGGAGGATGTCTTATTTCTGCTCACCAGTTCATGTCCTCCTCTCCATTTATCTTCATCTTATCTTCTCCCCCTAACCCTAGTCCTATTTCTCCCCTACAAATGTCATTTCTCCCCACTTTCTGCTCATCTTCTTCACACACACCAGTGAAAGAGACACAGCATGGGTACATCAAGGCAGGACAGAGCTTGTTCCAATCTGGCAGGGCACAGCTTGTTTCATGTGTGTTATTGAAAATGCAAACGCGCAAGAGCAATGACTGTTCTCCCAGTTCTTTTGCTGAAGGATATGTGAAGAACATCAAACACCTTTGTGGTCTTTTAGATCCAGACCATTTTCAACAGCAATCACATGAGTCGACAAGGGGATCCCTAAGGCAAATCATTCTCCTTCATCCCTGCTTTGAATACAACTGTTTTCAAGGAGGTGAAAGTTTAAGAGAAACGCTATCTATCTGCAAGTGTTTCAACAGTGGTGATTTCAGCAATTACATGCTGAGGGTAGTACACTGTACACTCTAACAGCATAGCTGGGATTTCCTTTTTTCCTCTTTTGACTGCCGAAACCAGGACACTGCCTTAAATACTACTTTCTAAAGTGAGAGGAGAAAAAAATATGGTTATGAGAGGATATGGCTGTCTGGCTTTAGCGAAACCTTGAAGCCAATCTCTTGGGTTGAGATGATAGGCTTGAACAGTGCACTGGAGTTTATGGTGCTCTTACAAGGCTGGGACAGACGACACTCCTTCAAGTACTCTACCTAATGAAGTAAAAAGGAATTTTAGGAAAATAAAGAAAAAAAAGACCTTATTCCCTTTCCCAGGCTGTGGGTCACACCTGAATGTGCTCCCTTTCCCAGGGGTTAGCATCTTTGTGTGTTCTGTCTAGCTTTTTCTCCATGACTAAACTATTCCTTTCATCATCCTCTCTTTTTGCATGCCAAATGGGCCCTGTAATGCTATGAATCACAGATCTATGAACTCCCCAGCCACAGTAATACAGCTCCTTTTCTGGTTCACGTCTCCTGTATGTTCAAGACCAGTTAGTCATACTTTCTGTGCTCTCTTTCCTCTGCTCTCCCACTGCAGAAGGAACTGATGTTTTCTGTAATTCTCCAGGCTGGTACAGTCCCCAGATAATTTCTGTATTTTTTCCCTGTAGCACTAGTGCATGAATCATGTCAGAGACAATAGAGATTGAATGAAAGGAATTGCAAAAATCCCAGCTGCCACATGTGCATCCTAGCTGGTGTAAAATGCGGTAAACAGCTCTGCCCAGGACCTGGGAGGATGCTGGGGAGACTGGGCAGCTCCAGTTAATATCTCCTCTGTTAGGCAGTTCACAAGGGCTGTGACAGGAGGTGGGAAAATCTGTCTAGCAAAATGTCTGCAGATCTCCTGTTCTTGGATGGGTGGTGTCCTTCATCTTCACTTCTTGCATGTCTGCGATATTTCTTGGTAAATCAATTTGTATTAAGTTTGGGTAGAAAGTTGAGAATTTTGTCCCATCAGCATTGCTGAGATTTTGAAAATACTGTCCATGAATGGCAATGAAAAGTTATATTTTATATATTACCCTTTTATTTGTTAATCCATTTTAGTCAGTACAGAAGTCTTTCACAGTTACATATAAAGACCGGTGTATCTGGACTGTTGCTTAGCAAAATGTTGTAAAAACTACAGAAGTTGTAATCATAAAAGATTCTTCTAGACCATACGACAGATAT